CCATGTTACTCATTTATTTTGCTGGTTTTATTTGGGTGGTTGAAAGAATTACTAGTCCATTTTAATGTTATTTTTAGTGAATTTTGTAATTTGGTCATAAGTGGACTACTGTTTCAGAGAGTTGAAAGGCAAAATTACAATTTATGCTCTATAACTTATGGTTTGTGTCAATTATGAATTTTGTTCTGTCAAAATCAGGCCAGTAACTTGAAAAATCACACACGTAATGTTCATTTTGTCGGGATAGAAACAAAGTCGAGACACGTAAATATACGATAACCTTAAGACGAAATAGTCTCGTAAATTATCCGTGGTTTGCGGCTGACGACTTTTAACTTCTGTATGAAGGCACAAGCCTTTGGCGAACATTTTATTTTTTTGTTATTGTGTATAATTTGTGTATTTCCCGTATTAGCCTTAAGTTATACGTAGCCCTAATTTTGTGTATATATTATGGGTTTATAGAGAGTTGTATCATCCGATTGAGATGATAATTTTCCGAGTTCACTTTGTCTCTTTCGTATCATGGTATCAGAGATGAGTTCGATTGTAAAATTATTTTTCGATCAATCTCGATCAATTTTCTCTTCACCTCATTTTTTTTTTCGATTGATGTTTAGTCGCAGACTCGTGTTCAAATTTGTCCTCGCAAGCCATCAATTTTTCTGCCCTCAAATTTAAAGAAAAAAAAAATTGCTTTATTGAGGGAGTGTGTGAGTTGCTTAGGATTGAAAGAAAAAAAGAAGTGTGAAATCCAGTATTTGCGTGAGTAAAAAAAAAAAAAAAAGGAAAACTCCTTCATGGCAGATTCTTCGATGTCGGCCGCGTCAGACGGTTGTCGTTTCAGGTGTTCTCATTGTGGTCGAATGGGTCATCTTGCCGCTACTTGCTTTGAGATTATTGGCTATCCGGATAGTTCGGTTCCCGTTGTGGCCGCCATGGTGGAGCTCACGGCAAGAGTGATGCTCGTGCGAATGCAGCGTTTTCCAGTGCTATCGGAGATTCGTTTATTGCCGGTTCTGTTGGCTCTTCCACTACTAGTGGAGTTTTGAATCCCTTGTCTGGTACGCGTGGTTTATTTGATTGGATGTACGACTGTGGGCAACTCATCATATGACAGGATTCCTGGAGTTTATTTCTTATGTTCGGGATATTCCCGCCCGTCCTGTTCAATTGCCTAATGGTTCATTGACTATGGCTACCAAGGCTGAGACTGTGTATTTGGGATCTCATATAACTCTTTATGATGTTTTATACGTTCCCAGCCTTCGGTGCAGCTTGATTTCATTATATCAATTGTTGGATCGTTCTGACTGCACCGCTCAGTTTACTAGCAAATTTTGTGTCATTCGAGACCACACTTCGCAGAAGGTGATTGGCACGGGTGAGCAGTTGAGTGGTCTCTACTTCTTTCGAGAGTCGGTTTCTACGACAGTTTCTTGTGTTCAAAAGGTTTCCCCCGATGTGTGGCATCAACGTTTAGGTCATCCGTCTGCTCAAGTATTGTCCCAGGTTCCTGTTATTGATTCGAGTTCTCGTAATTTGCATAAATCATGTGATGCTTGTTTTCGTGCTAAACAACATCGTCGTAGTTTTCCTCTCAGTTAGACTGTTAGTCATGAGATTTTTCATCTGATTCATTGTGATTTGTGGGGTCCGTATCGTGTTCCGTCCTTCTGTGGTGCACGGTATTTTTTTACTATTGTAGATGATTGTTCTCGTGGGACATGGGTTTATTTATTGAATGATAAGACGGAGGTTGCTTCCACATTGCTGAATTTTTTGTCTATGATTAAGCGACAATTTGATAAATTGGTACGTGTTATTCGTACTGATAATGGAAGTGAGTTCATGTGTTTGACTTCTTATTTTCGTCGTCAAGGGATTCTGCATGAGACTTCTTGCGTAGGCACCCCTCGGCAGAATGGGCGTGTGGAACGTAAACATCAGCATATTCTCAATGTAGCTCGTGCTTTACGTTTCCAGGCTCACCTGCCTCTTCCTTTTTGGGGTCATTGTGTTTTGACTGCAGTCTATCTGATAAATCGGACTCCTTCATCAGTTTTACATGGTAAAACACTATATGAGATTCTTTATGGTTCGACTCCTTGCTTGTCTCGTTTGCGGGTTTTTTGGTTGCCTTTGTTATGCTCATAACCAAGATCGTCATGGTGACAAGTTTC